TCATAGTATAAACGTAGTTATAATTATTAACGAAAGGTGACCATGTTTTAGCTAGATAGAATATTGATTTAATAGGGGTCTGATAATTCATGCATCTCTCTGTTCAAAAAGACGTGATTGTCAAAATACTAAGAATGAGTGAGGAATGTGGGGAATGACAGAGCGCACGTGTTCCAATGAACATCGTATCGCTGGTTCGCTCGCGCTCTCTCTCTCAGAGGGCTGGTTGTCATTGACAGTGACAACAACTCCCGTAAGCCCACGCTCTTTCCCGACGTCATCAAAGTACGTCTTTTGTGATTATTTTGATTGAGTGACCCCTGGTGGCCAAAAATTACATACTATACGTTTAAATTGACTTAGTAGATTTATAATTTAATTACCTCTGAAGACATTATGACTGTAACAAAAGATGTGTGCGGCTGATGCTCCTTTGGTTATGAACAGCTCGTGCAAGCGTGCGTGTGTGGTCCATGAGTGTGCACACCTCTGGTTGCAGTTTTGCTTGTCGCCAGAGGGGGCGTAGTTCTGCAAAAACTCAGAGTCTTGTGAAATGCACCTTTAAGGTTATGAATAAGCTGGTGTGTTCCAAAACAATGACAACATTTGCATTTAGGAGATATAAGCATTCAAAACTTAGGCCTTGTGTCCACCAAAGCGTTTTTTCCACGTGCCTGGCGTATGTTATCAATTATTTTCAATGGGAGCGCCGCGTTTTTTAAACGCCATGAGCGTACCGAGGCGCTGAGCGTTTTTTTTTCACGCTGAAGTGCCCGCCGTTTTTACCGGTCGCTGGGAGTTGAAAAATGTTCAACTTTTGATAAAACGCAGCGCTCATCACTGTCACTTTTTACTCAGCCGTCCAATCACATTGGAGGAGGGGCGGGACTAATATCACACCGACCAACTGTCAACATTCGAACTGCTGCGGATATTCTGTATCATAGCAACGAAACGTCTCAACGGAAAAAAAACGCTGCGCTGCCAAAACGCTCTCAAGCGCCCAAAGCACGGCGTCTTCAGCAGAGCGTCTAGCGTTTTCAGCTGGCTAAAAATGCTTTTGGTGGACACACGGCCTTAGTCTCTCACTTCTGCTAAAATTGATCGTGGATTTTTATGACGTCACTGTAGACTTCAGCTTCTCATCACATCTTCTGTCCAATCAAATGCTCTCTAGAATCGAAAGCTCCGCCCCCTATGCTATAACACCACCTGGTCAAAGCGACAGTTGACACTTCATGGAGCGATACAGGTTGGAGTGTGTGTTCGGTTGCTCAAACGCTAAAGTTTTATTCCGTTTTCAAACTGTACGTTGGTTAAGAATGAAATGGCTAGAATTTATTCACAAATTTATTTCATGGTTTGGTCAAGTACTACTTGCAGTCTGTGAGGTAAACTAAACTGGCTGTTTGAAAAGGGGGGGGGAGCCATTCAATACGTCACACCTTAACTTCCTGTTTCAGTGGAAATTGCGTCAACGCATCATACAAAGCAGCGTGTCTCAAGGTGCTTAAGTGGACCTTTAAAGTATGAGATTTTAACCTGTGCAAGTGCGCAGATCTGATTATTCCTCCGCTCATTATGCCGACCGCTGCTCTAGGGCGTCCGTTTTCATCCACACACACATCTTTTTCTCAGCTGCTTGTCTGTAGAGTTGAGGGCTACTGTTGTCAATAAATAATACATTTTAAATAACATACAATAAAATTAAAATGTTTACACGTACTATCTACTCCACTTACATGCAACACAGTGTGACTTTATCAGACAGAATCGCCCCCTAAACCCTCATTCACTACTCCCTACGTTAGTCCACTAACACAGTTTACTTGAAGGAGTGAATGAAAACGAGTGAGCGAATTGTTTACATACATCAGCCTACACTCATTATTGCGGTGCATTGTGGGATTGATTGAGTGCACCCGATAACATCCACTATTGTTACGGATACCACTATAATTGGCTATGGGGGGTGATTTCGGATTCAGCCAAAGAGTCAATTTGTGATAGACCCTCTTTTGGTCAAATATCTTTCTACATGAATATGCAGGTCACCAAACTTTAGTACGGAAGCAAAAGACAAACTGATACACTCTCTAGTGTTTGCGTACAATGTGGGGCTTCATTTATGAAATGTGCATATGCACAGATTTATCAAAACGGTCTTTAACGCAAGTGGTGCTCACTGAAGAGCCAGATGACGTCCAGCTCCACCTCTGTGGATCTAATGGGTGGAGGGATATAGTAATGGTGGGGTTAAGGCCAATTTATACTTCTGCGTCGAGGGTACGCCGTAATGTGCGGCGTTGGCTACGCACGTAGGCGACGCCGTTATGAGCATTTATACTTCTGCGTTCAGGTCTTGTTGCTCTGCAGTACTGCTCCGAAACGCTAGGAGGCGGCGGAGGGTTTTAATGTTCCACTGTGTTTAGATTCCTCGCGGCTAGGGTACTACAAGCAATAGCGATTGAAAGAGAGTGGATCATGTTGGAGTTGGAGCTTTTTGAGGTGGAAAAACAGTTCACTTTAGTGAAATTACTAAAACTGAAAGGCAGAAATGAGAGAAGACGTCGGAGGAGATGGTACGTGTGGAAATCATAGACAGTTATGGAAATGCGTGAGAAGGTACGTGCGGAAATGCGTAGGAGGAAATGCGATGCTACCAAGCCGACCAATCACCGATCTTGCGGTCCGCGTCGTCGCGACGTGTAGTTACATTTTTGAGGAGGTGCGCGTCAGGCGACGGCGAAGGGTACGCGCAATGGGACGCGTCTGTGCGTATGCTACGCCGTACCTACTGCGCGCACCCTACGCAGAAGTATAAATCGGCCTTTAGGGTGTGCTTGGGCCTTCACCCATTACGCCCAAATTACACAGTAACACCTCAATGCAGTACATGAGATCCACAGGGAGGAGTCGGATCAAGAGCCAAGGGGTGGAGATGGGTAGGGTTAGGGGTGGGTTTAGGGATCAGGGGGTGGAGATGGATAGGTTTAGGTGTATGTAAGGTCCTCCCCGTGGATTTCATGTTCTGCAGTGAACCATCTCAAAGTAAACCCAGAAAGGGGGAGCTGGACTTCACGCTCCACCATGACTCTGCAGTGATCAGCCTCTCCTTTGATGTGGAAAAGTGTGTATCGCCACGTCAGGATCTGAGCAGACGTACACTTTTTTCACAGTTCTCCAGCATATATCTCCCCATGATCACTCCTGGCATGTAGAGAGGCCACTAAACCAGGCGTTCTCAACTCGTTTTCCTGCAGAGTTCAGCTTCAACTTTGATCAGGCCTAGAGGTTTTCCTCCTTAAAAAATCATGTCAACATGAAAACGTAAAAGCACCCTATGAAGCGTTGTCAAGAGAATGCCAAACCAACAGGTGCCGATACAACCATAACCGTAAAGCCATGTTGGCCAATCAGAAGCCTGGAAAAAAAGGTTGTTAGCGGTTTTGGTTCCGACGTCAAGCCAAAATCTCCGTTTTCACCGTCTGAAACTAAAAATCTTCACACTGGTAGGTAGACAGGGAAAACCCAGACAACTTTCGGCAAATTTAGATTTGCTGTGAAATTTAGTCTGGCAAAGAGCTCATTCAAGCCCATTTCCAATCCGTCGAAATCGAAGGACCAATCAGAATCGTTGGAACGGGCTTTACACGATGACGAAAGCGCTGGGATTTTGTAGCCTACGTTACAAAGATGGATGTCGCTGTCGAACATCACTCGTTTGAATCAGCTATCGTGTCTGTTTTAAGCGATTTGAACGTTTCCTTTTTGTTAAAAAATGAGTAAAGAACAACACTCCGCTCTGCATACGTCATCTCCTCAATCACTCTGATTGGTTTTAGGTCTATTTCCCTTTGGAAATGATTTGTCTATGACTCTTTGCCAGACCATAACTCAGTTACAACTGAGAATGGTCTGGTTTTAACCAGGCTAGCTGGTAGGTGAAAAAGTTTGGTTTCAGTGACATGAAACTGCGTTTGCGTGTGGACGAAAGGCCAAACCGCATAGAAAAAGCTGCGGTTTTGAAAATAATGTGGACTGGGCCTCAAACTCACCAGCCAGCTTTCTAGTAATCCTGAAGACATTGATTGGCTTCTTCAGGTGAGTTTGATTCGAGTTGGAGCTAAACTCAGTTGGGGCAGGAAAGTGGAACAGTTGAGAAGCTTTCCACTTAAAAAGCAAATCAATGACGATATATTAATATGATTTTAGACATATACATTTCCATTAAAGGGTTTGTTAACCAAAAAATTAAAATGATGTCATTAATGACTCACCCTCATGTCGTCCCAAGCCCGTAAGACCTCCGTTCATCTACGCAACACAGTTTAAGCAAATATTTCTGTGCCACCATTGTAAAATGTATGTACGGTGTACTGTCCTTGTCCAGAAAGGAAATAAAGACATCAAAGTAGTCCATGTGACATCAGTGGGTTATTACAAAGTTTTTGTTATTTTTGGACCAAAATGTATTTTCGATGCTTCAAAACAAAGACTTTATTCAGCATTGTATTGTCTTCCGGTTCTGTTGTAGATTCGCGTTCAGTGACACTGCTGACGTTAGACGCGGCTGACGTGTGTCTAGGTCTGAGGGGAGACTCACGCTGTACAAAACAATCTTCGAAAACATGTCTAAGGATTTCCACACAGAGGAAGACTTGCATTTTTTTGCCCAGCCATATTTATTTGAACCCGAATATACAGACGCACCAGACACACGTCAGCAGCGTCACTGAACGCGGATCCACAACAGAACCGCAAGACAATAGAATGCTGAATAAAGTCGTATTTTTAGTTATTTTTGGACCAAAATGTATTTTCGATGCTTCAAAATATTGTAACTAACCCACTGATGTCACATGACTACTTTGATGTCTTTATTAACTTTCTGGACAAGGACAGTATGATATACATTTTCAATGGAGGGACGGAAATATTTGCTTAAACTGTGTCGCGAAGATGAACGGCGGTCTTACGGGCTTGGGACGACATGAGGGTGAGTCATTAATGACATCATTTTAATTTTTGGGTGAACTATCCCTTTAATAACTGATGGTTGGATGAAACAAGTCTAGAAAGCAGAGCAGCGTTCGCTCTTGTCTGTGGGAGGTTTACGCCCAACATTGAATTTAGGCTTGAACGAGTGCTCTGATATCAGCTGATTTATTTCATTCTGCTTGTAGGTGGGCAGTTTTTGAGAGAGCCACGGTCCTCTAGGTTGACTTACAGTTCCTTGAAAATATTTGATACAGCCCCGACCTATTAAATACACAACCTCTGCGATGTTTAGCAAGACACAAACTCCAGACACCGCCAGCATGAAGACAGTAAAAATGGTCTTCTCTGTGGGACGGGACACAAAACAGTCCACCGTATTGGGACAGGGGTAGGAGTCACACTTCACAAGACGAAACATCTTGACATCTGGATAGATGTAGTAAAAAATGTACAAGAAAACCACCTCGAAAATGATCCGGAAAATGATGCTTATCATGTAAGTCCACCACAGAGCACCGGCGATCTCGAACTTCTGTCTCTTTATGTTCTCGAAGTCCTTTTCACTTCCCCGGCCGGACATCTTGAGGATCTTTCTCTCGATGTGCCGGCGGTGTGCGACGTGCATGGCGACCAGCAGGGCCGGTGTGGAGACCAGGATGAGTTGCAGAGCCCAGAGGCGGATGTGAGAGATGGGGAAGAACTGGTCGTAGCACACGCTGTTGCAGCCGGGCTGTTGAGTGTTGCACGTAAACCCAGACTTCTCGTCTCCCCACACGCTCTCAGCCGCCACGACCAACACCATGATCCGGAAGATGAAGATGACCGACAGCCAGATGCGTCCGATGCCCGTCGAATGCCTGTTCACGCCACTGATCACGGCATAAAACGAAGCCCAGTTCATGGTTGGATTGAAGACTAAAGAGAAGAGAATCCAAAGCACAATGACTTTTACATGGTTTCATCGAGTTCAAAACTCTGAATCAAGTCTTACTTACACTAGCCAGGAAGTTGGAAGCTCAAATATAAGATCGTTTTGATTTGTTTTTAATCGGTACATAATTTCCAATCTCCATTTGTGGTGTTTCAGTGCCTTTTAAATCTACACTGTAAAAAATGAACATGCTATATCTAAGCAATAAAATTGTGGAAACAGATTTCAAGAAATATTATTAATTAAATTTAACGAATTGAGTAATTAATTAATACAATTAATTCCTTAAAAGTTAACCAGTCAAATGTTTGTGAAAAAATGGTGAAAACATAACCGACACCATCAGATAACCTTTTATATTTTATCTGATTGTCATAACTCAGGTATATCAGCCAAACAAAACTTAAAGTGAACGACTCAAGGGTCAAGAGCCCAACTAAAACAAACATTGATCACCATAATGGTGACTTAAAATTATGTTTTTCTCCTTCAGTGATTCTGCCTGTTAACATCAGCTGTCTTCAATATTGCCAATATAAAATAGAGTTCTTCATTCATCTGTTATTCAAATATTTTTATTTTTTTGTGTAAATTTCACTCATTTTTTAAGGAATTAATTAGATTAACTATTACTCAGTTCTACTTTGCTAAATTTAATTAATAATATTGTGTGTAATCTGTTGTCACAATTTTATTGATTAGATATAGCGTATTAAGTTTTACAGTGTATGGTTCCACGGAGAACCTTTCCATTGGACAAAAGGTTCTTTATAGTCAAAAAGAAAAGGTTTGTTGACACTTTACAATAAGGTTCATTAGTTAGCATGAACTAATAATGAACTGCACATATACAGCATTTATTAATCTTTGTTGGGGCCATGCTTTTTTCCACATTTACTAAAACATTATTAAATTCTTGTTACCATTAGTTAATGGTAACAACTAACATCAACAAAGATTAACAAACACAGTAACAAATGTATTCCTCGTGGTTAGTTCGCGTTAGTTAATACATTTTAGAATAAGGTTCAATAGTTAACATTGGTTAGTGTTACCAAATGTTCTTCACACTAAGTTTCTTTGGTGAACCAAAATGGTTCTACTATGACATTGCTGGAACAAAATAACTCCTTTTGTACCTAAAATGTTAAAAATAGTCACAATAAGGATTATTCCAACTTTTGACTGGTATAACATGACTAATCACTTATAAACGGAGAATTACACAATATTAAAGATTAATGTAATCCTAACAACCATTGCAACAACATAATGCTCAATCAAAAAGCTTTCCTTGCACATGATTCTGAATCGGAGCAGTAATTTACCAGGTTCAGCCCGTGAGAAAGCAGCTTATGCTGTACACCAGGTCCAAACATGAAGAACAACACACTGTATTCTTGGCATTTGGATACTTGGTTGACAAAAAATGTTCAGGTCACTTTGGAGCTGGTTTAGAGCTTAGGCAATGGTCCCAACAAGAGCTTACAGTCGGACCTCCAAATGCAGGATATCTGCAGTGGCCAAAGCAAATCGTCCATTTAAACTACACCAAGAATCGAAATTCGGTCCAGCAGTCAAATGAACATTTTCTAATGGTATAAAATTGATTTATATAGTGGTTTACCTTCAGCTGAGACAACAAAGAGACATTTCCAGGAATCGGCTTTTGGCCTCGCTAATGCCCTTTGCAAACGCAATGCATTTACGCGCTACTAGCCACAACCCTGCACCATGGCTGTCATCTGCACTTATATAACCCGTTTAGACACAATGCTGCTCTTTATGGAGGCCAACAAGACTCTTCAGAATTCAGATCAAATGCCTCGATTTCCACCCACCCGGGGCAGAAGAAAGAATCTGTGTGGACACAATGAGCAGCAACATTATTCATTGTGCCTGGCAGGGAGAGGAAATGAGGGGCGTTTCTGACCCGCTCTCACTTTATCAAACACAGCACAATTTATCAAAGAAGGTCGACTCGAGATATAACACTGTCAGGCTTTTGTGTATGTTTCTAGGTTCAATCTGTGGCGAAATCATTCATATTATGTAAATGACAGAACGAGAGAAGATCTCAAGATGGGACACCAGTAAGATACATTTTTGCAGTTTGTTGAATAGCTTTAACCCTGGCGTTTGAGTTGTGTCATCCCGATCTGAAACTATTCAAGTATTTTACCACGATTGTGCAAGTTGGCAATTTCAGAAGAGAAAGCCAAGCATAAAGGTCCACCACAGTACAAATTAATATGGATTAGCCACCAATTTGCAAAAATGTAAAATGGTTACACATTGCCACGAGATAGTGATGGTTCTGTCTGGTTGTTGAGAGCGACTCATGACTTTCATTGTACAACCGCCATCATATGTTTGGAAAGAGTGTCAAAGTTCATTCATCGGAACAACATTTCAATATTTTTTATTGAGTGCTTTCCCAAACGTAACTTTTAGAACAGATTTCTTTCTTTTAAACCAAAGACATCAGTGCAGAAAACAGTTCAACTGGAAACCTCTAAATATGTGAATACAATTTTAAAGCAGGCGTTTCAATCTTGGGCCATTTTTTTATGGCTCTTCAGGAGTTTTATCCTTAAATCAGGCTGACAAATCACTTTTCGTGATGTTTCACATCTCTAACTGCAAATTAACCTCCATTTTCAAGCAATACAATCTTAAGTATCATTTCTCAACTACACATGCAGAGGATCTGCTAGATATGATGGAAAGGAAAGGTCTGTGAATATTTCCCTTCAACTGTCATCATCTGTGTGCACATTCATATTAGCATCCACGCTCTGGCCAAAATTCCCCAAAAGATAAGGACGTTTTTTTGTTATTATTCTCGTCTGATCATGAAACCACTGCATGTTGTAATTACTGATTTGTCTTCTTCAAATTAAAGGTATTCGAGGCAAAATCAGCCTAACATCCAGAGAGACGCGTCTCATGATGTGGGGGCAATGTATATCTGCGTATTCAATTAAACAAAGAATATATCAGTAATACATTTCAGAAAAAAAAGACAAGTCGACTCTAAACTTCTTTCAAATAATTCGAGATTCTTCTATCTTAGAGCTCCTTTTTTTTTTTTAATTATGAATTTTTTTGATACATAATTATGTAACATCTAAACCAAAAAGAATATAATCAACAGCACTGAACATCAGTAATTGCTTCTGTCATTCTAACAAAAGGCACATATTTTTAAAAGGCACATAATGTTAAAAGCAAAAACTTTTCAACATCAGTTGAAATGGAACAGGAAATGGAACAGGAACAGTCAACATCACTTCCTGTTTTAATGGTAACAGGAGATCAGATACTTCTCCCACTCGGAGGACCGTTTTCGGGCTCGTTCTTGGGCATCACCTGGGAAACAACATCAGAAATGTTACTATAAAGAACTCACGTCCATCATGTTATATCATGACACATAACGGCGCCACTCACTTCTCTTTAACCCTTTGTGTTTGTTAGATCTGTGGATGGCAAATCTATTCTGTGCAAGTCTCTCAGAAAGAGAATCCCCTCTCCTAAAGGAGTCAAACACAAAAGGACAAATATTATCAGTTTCACTTAAAACAGACCACAATGTGTGTTAAAACTGATCCTAGCCGTTCCATCATTGAACCTTCATTACAACATGATTATTAAGTTACGATCACCTCGGCTATGAGCTGACAATAAGTAAAATAATTTATATTATAAATAATCATCAAATTCAAAATGAGGACTGGTACATAATACACAGCACCATTTAGAAAGATTTAATAAAAGACTTGGAAATGTGAGATTATCTGCAATGGATTTACGATTTTAAACAATACAAACAAACACACACAGACTGTAGATTTACATCAGACCAATATAAAACTATCTTGTCTGATAACAGTAGTTTGCTCAGGTAGGAATAATCGGTGACATTTTTTAGATGGGATTAGCAAGGGGTCTACCGTCAACATTATTGGAACGAGAATAACGTTGTCCTTACCTCATGGCACCAATCTTTCCCTTCTCCATGAAGAGCTCCACTTCTCCTTCTGGATAAATCCTGGCATAAAGAGTCTTGTTCTGAACTTTGCTTTTGAACCAGCTGATCGCTTCAAAAGACCAGGTTTCTCCAAATACTGGCCTCACCTATACCACACAAGTTAAAACAACCTTAATGTATTTTTTTTTTAAAAAGTCTGGAAACAATATTATTGTTAGGTTACGGGTTTGACCAGATCTCGCCATATTAAACCGTGACAAGCCGTCTCACGATATCAGCATGACGGAGTTAAGCTTGAGGCAAAATCTTGCGCTTGCTTTATATCGTTGTAAGAACTGGTAATTTACTCTGGAAAAAAACATTGCCTATACACTCACCGGCCACTTTATTAGGTACCCCATGCTAGTAACGGGTTGGACCCCCTTTTGCCTTCAGAACTGCCTCAATTCGTGGCATAGATTCAACAAGGTGCTGGAAGCATTCCTCAGGAAGTTTGGTCCATATTGACATGATGGCATCACACAGTTGCCGCAGATTTGTCGGCTGCACATCCATGATGCGAATCTCCCGTTCCACCACATCCCAAAGATGCTCTATTGGATTGAGATCTGGTGACTGTGGAGGCCATTTGAGTACAGCGAACTCATTGTCATGTTCAAGAAACCAGTCTGAGATGATTCCAGCTTTATGACATGGCGCATTATCCTGCTGAAAGTAGCCATCAGAAGTTGGGTACATTGTGGTCATAAAGGGATGGACATGGTCAGCAACAATACTCAGGTAGGCTGTGGTGTTGCAACGATGCTCAATTGGTACCAAGGGGCCCAAAGAGTGCCAAGAAAATATTTCCCACACCATGACACCACCACCACCAGCCTGAACCGTTGATACAAGGCAGGATGGATCCATCCTTTTATGTTGTAGACGCCAAATTCTGACCCTACCATCCGAATGTCGCAGCAGAAATCGAGACTCATCAGACCAGGCAATGTTTTTCCAATCTTCTATTGTCCAATTTCGATGAGCTTGTGCAAATTGTAGCCTCAGTTTCCTGTTCTTAGCTGAAAGGAGTGGCACCCGGTGTGGTCTTCTGCTGCTGTAGCCCATCTGCCTCAAAGTTTGACGTACTGTGCGTTCAGAGATGCTCTTCTGCCCACCTTGGTTGTAACGGGTGGTTATTTGAGTCACTGTTGCCCTTCTATCAGCTCGAACCAGTCTGGCCATTCTCCTCTGACCTCTGGCATCAACAAGACATTTCCGCCCACAGAACTGCCGCTCACTGGATGTTTTTTCTTTTTCGGACCATTCTCTGTAAACCCTAGAGATGGTTGTGCGTGAAAATCCCAGTAGATTAGCAGTTTCTGAAATACTCAGACCAGCCCTTCTGGCACCAACAATCATGCCACGTTCAAAGTCACTCAAATCACCTTTCTTCCCCATACTGATGCTCGGTTTGAACTGCAGGAGATTGTCTTGACCATGTCTACATGCCTAAATGCACTGAGTTGCCGCCATGTGATTGGCTGCTTAGAAATTAAGTGTTAACGAGCAGTTGGACAGGTGTACCTAATAAAGTGGCCGGTGAGTGTATATGTTGTGTATGGCAAGAGACGGCCATAGAATCAGTCGGATACGACTGAAATGGTAAGATAGATATTACATTATGTATTTTAACAGTTGTTCAGAACAAAATTATTACTTGCTTTTGATACTTTATTTGAATCAAGTATTGGCACATTGTTAGTATAGATGTATTGGAAGTCATTTTAAAGGTTGTTTATTGTTTAAACCACTGTATTGTTTTGCATTGTGTGACTTTCAGTCAAATAAAAGACATTTTTCCAGTCATATAATCATTGGAGATTTTTTAAATGTAGTGAACCCAATATCATGCATCATCACACCCAAAATAGCGTCACCCACATTTGCCAGAGAGGCCTGCAGCGCTTGCACGGGTCTGGATGCCATTTCTCCACTCATTTCCTTGACATCCCGAAGAGACACGCAAACGTCGTCTCCATAGTCAATCCTCCTGACCTCCACCTTAATGTCTGTGCAGAAATCATCATCAATGACCACGTTTACCAGCACACACACTCAATGTGTTTATGAGATTTAGCCAATATTGGGATTAAACTTTTTACTTTACAGAACATAAATAATACTTCATTCAACCTGGTCCAGTTAACTCATAAGCGAAGTAACCATTAACAGTGTAAAATGTGGCATATTCCGATTTTAAAGGGATAGTTCACTTTGAAATTAATTTTTGATATGTTTTATCTTACCTCAAGGGCATCCAAGATGTAGGTGTCTTTGTTTCCACAGTATTTTCAATTTTGATATTTTTAGGTCAAACCGTTCTTGTCTGTCAGTCATATAATGGAGGTCTATGGTCACCACCCCAAAGAGCATGCACAGAGAAGTCCAAATTAAATATCATTTAATGACTCGTAAATGTAAGTACACATTGATGGCCTAAGACACGAAACGAGCGGTTTGTGTGAGAAAACGATATTTATATAATTTTTACCATTTTTTAGAAGGTGTGGACGCTTTGGTCTGTGAAAGCGCCAATAGTGATCTCTCGCGCGGTTGCGAAAAAAATAAAATAAAAAATCAACCATCCTAGGAAAAAAAAAATATCGCTCCCCAGATGTAGATCTACAGTTTGCTTCGTTTTGCTCGGACATTTAACAGCGTAGACATACACGTGGATAGCTCAAAATGCGTATAGATGACGCCACTTGACTTGAAAGTGGCATGTATGTTTACGCAAAAAATCATGATGTCATCTTGTCCATTGCAATTTCCTGTATATCTAAATATGTTTAGATCTTCACAGTGAAGGGTAACACTTCTGAAATCTCTGTGTAAACAATGAGTGACATACACGCGCGAGAGAGATCACTTCCGGCGCTTACGCAGACCGAAGTGCCCGCGCCCTCAGATCTCTTGGACGTGGCTGTTTTAGAGGTAAAAATGATATAAATACTGTTCATTTCCTCACACAAACCGCTCGTTTCGGGTCTTAGGCCATCAATGTGTACTTACATTTACGAGTCATTAGATCATGTTTAATCTGGATTTCTCTGTGCATGCTCTTTGAGGTGGTGACCATAGACCTCCATTATATGACTGACAGACAAGAACGGTTTGACCTAAAAATATCAAAATTGAAAATACTGTGGAAACGAAGACACCTACATCTTGGATGCCCTTGAGGTAAGCTAAAACATATCAAATTAATTTCAAAGTGAACTATTCCTTTAAAATCGGTATGCCACATTTTACACCGTTTACTGCACACACAAATATATTATGTAAACACAAGCTTTTATTTTGGATGCAATTAATCACAATTAATCTTTGCACAGGCAGTTTTCAGGCATCCAAAGCATCGTTATCGCATAAATGAACAGCTGTAAATGAACAGCTGTAAATGAACAGCCAAAAACGCACAGAAAGTTTAAAGTCCCCGTGAACCGGAAGTTGCAAACGAGTTTTCTCCAGTGTTGTGAAATGAGACAAAATAGTGGGCGTGGCTTTTTTTTTTCTAACTAGCACCTGATTGGATCTAGAAAAATGGGTGTTTCATTCTGAAATGGAGGATGACGCAAGTTTACGCACGCTGTCAATCAATGCTCGCTCGGCGCTCGCAAACACACAGCAGCTGTCAGTTGGGGGGGCGTGGTTATGGATGTTAAGGAGACACCCAAACCGTAAAGCCTACGTCATCGGGCAAGGTCCTCCAATGCAGAGGGGAGGGGCATTTTCAAAACATTTTTGTGTGGATTGTAGGGCTGGGGTAAACGATTATTAACTAAACGATTAGTTGGGCGATTATTTTATCGATTAGTCGACTAATCTAATGACTAACGCTGCCTTCACACTGGCAGTTGAAATCAGCTCCGTAATACGCAATACGTTCCCAACGGACGTCGTACTACACAGTGAAAAGCGTCGGACGCGGGTAGAACAAAAATGGCGGAGAGATTAAAGTTTGATTCTGTCAGTTCTGTATGATCTCTCTGATTAGGGTTATGCTGCGTGAGGAAAGTTGCTCAGGACGTTGATGCCAGGTCGGCTAAAAAATGTGATATCGTGGTCAATAGTTCAATATCTACCTTCAATTTAATTGTATTAACTGCCCTTAAACGTTAGAAAGTCATGAAAATAAAAAATGACATCACAACTTATCGTTATAAAATCAATATTTATTTTATTAAAAGTTAATAATTCAGGTTTGTTTATCAGTACCATAGCAACGGTCAACTTCCGCTGGAATTGTCGGATAGGAACCGTCCGTAGCTTTTCGCAAGAGTTCGAATTTTTGAACGCATCCGGATGACCAACGGACACGATTTTCTTCGCACCGCACTCGGTCGGACCCGTTTCGGACCCATTTGCATGCGGTCTGCGAATCTCCATAGGAAATGAATGACTTCCGGTCGTTTCGCAGCCGCATCGGAGCTGATTTCAACTGCCAGTGTGAAGGCGGCGTGAATGGACGACTAATATAAAGAATATTTTTCTGCTGCTCAATTAATAAAAAAAAAACAATGTATCTCAAATAAATACTAGCTTACTGAGATACTATAAGCTGGCTAACGTTAGTCTAATGTTATGTATTTGAACACCATCATTATAACTCTACAACCGCCAAAACCGTGTTATTAAAATATTTTTTTTTACAAACAGTTTTTATCATAGAGAATGTTTAAATATTAATATCTGCCCGAGCTTGTACGTCTCACCACACCGGCACCCAGTTTGCGCGTCTAAATTGCAAAGTTTTTTTTTTTTTTTTTTTAAGGGTTTGTTTACTGTGTGTGATTCATTTAATGGATAGCACATTCACTTCTAGTTGTCTTCGTCCTATATTCCGCAATGTTTCGGTCTCCCACGTGTGTGTGGCAAGCTGGACCGCCAGGAACATGCAAAAAATAAATAAATAAAGAAGCGTCGACGCAAAAATATGACGTCGACGCAATTTTGACGTCGAAGCATCGACGCGCCGCTACAGCACTAGTGGATTGACTTGCATGTATGAATTGTTCACCACAAGACGATCAATTTAGGCAAACAAAGTATGGTCAATTTTGATTTCATAGGGACTTTAAATGGTCAGTATCACACATATACATATGCGAGTTCATTTGTGCTGTGCATTGAGGTTTGTGAAGAATGGCGGTAAACGTAACCTTAAGTTAGTTACTCTGATTATTGTAAATAATCACATTATTGGTGTATATGTAAACATTTTTTTTATTTTACAGAATTAATGCTGAAATTAGAAGTTAAAAATGAAGATTCAGATTCATACCTTGTATGGGGAGGGGGGGTATGGTATGGGGAGCAGGGAAAAAAAACAATGCATTTCACAGATTAAATTAATAATGAAAATAAAATGTTTTGGTAAAATTGCACATTTAAAGCAGCTTTGTCTTACCTCTACTCAGCTGACATATTTTGAGGACCCGGCCACGGCACCAGACCTCCTGCATCGGGAGCCATGCCATGACATAAGCCCCAACATCTGGGACACTATTCATCTCTGCAAAAGATCTACTGCTGTTCCTACTGCGTAATCAAAGAAAACAGAAACAGACACTAGTACCTGACCTGTACAGACAGTAGTCAAAAATATATAGATATGCCATTTTAAACTACTCACAGCATGATTTCAGACAGTTCACAAAGGTTTGCGTCCTTGTGTTGGATAAAGAACTTGTTTGGGTGAACAACGCGAGTGACTACAACTGGGATCTCCTCAAATTTGCGACTCTGAAACTCTGGGATTTGGACATGCACACCGTCATCATCTTCAGGTTCATCAGTCAGAGTGTTGGAGCCTTGAGGGCATGACTCTTCTTCTGACGGACAGGACCTTTGGCTGGAGAGGTTAGCAACTTTCCAGTCATCTTGGAAACGCAAATCGACCATTTCATTTGGGAATGGCTCTGCTGTAGAGTGATTTGTGCACGAAAAAAAATTTCCAGTGTCCCACAATTCACTATTTGTGGTAATCATCCAGTGATAGGCCACACAATCAACGCTGATGTGTTTCTCAGCAAATATGGGTTCAGAAACTTTCCCCTCAGAAATGACTTCATTCTCCAGATGCTTCTCGGCACTGGTCACTGCCACGACTCTCTGATCCACAGATGCCATTGCATTAATGTTTTGCTGCTGCATCAGCCTTGATGACGCCTCAGTTATGTTTGTCATATGTTGGACTTCATCAGCCGAAGAAGCCAGGTCAGACGCTCGTTTTGGGTTTTGACTCCTCAGATAGTGAAGGAGTTGAGAGGATGACAACTTGTGACGGTGAATTTGGTCACTTCCAGTATTTTGCCGAATTGTAATTTTTGGATTAGTATACATCTCACTTGGGTTGAAGATCTGGTTATGATGGCCTTTCACAGGTATTCTAGGATCCATGTTGATCTTCTGAACTGCAAAACCTTCAGACTGTTTGTGAACAAAACATCCAACTTTATAACAGTTTTAGGTATTTTTACTCTCATTTCAGATTAAAGCAGAATATCTGTTTTATTTTAAAGTGCAATGCTGCTTCTATCAATCATTTTAACAATTATTTAATCATTAGTTAAAAACATTTTATAACATTCTCACAAAGTGAGAATAAAGATATTGAGAGAAAATGGCAGCTTATTGTGGAGGTATGAAGTCAACATATGTTTACCTGTAATCTAATTTGCAAGTTACAGATGAGATCATGTCTTTACCACAAGTTTTATTTTTTTAACCAAAGGATGATATTGTGAAGCAGTAATTTTGCTTTGCTTTGATTTAATATCATGCTGAATTTGTGCTGGTCAGGCAAAGTCTGACGTGTTCATTTTTTGACAAATATGTTTAGAAAAACTATAATCCTATAAAAATTCCTCTTGTAAAAGAAAAAAAAGTTCCATAACAATAAATATATCAAAAATAAGTGTACTGCTTGCAATATCACCTGATTATTAGTCAAATACCTGGGACAACTTGACATGATTGACTATGAGAGTAAGTTTCGGTGGTGGACGAAGTATAAATCAAATACTTGAGTAAAAGTATTGATGCCATAATTAAAAATATTACTAGCTAGTACTTGTTTCAATTAAGCACTATTTAAAAGTACTAATCGATTAAAAATGTACTTATTCTAGCCAGCACTAGTCAGAGAAATGCAGACATTTAATATAGAAAATAAGCACATATTTTAAACATAATACTTACACTATCAAAACAACCAATAAAACATAATTTTCAAATGTACAAACTGGTGAAATAACGTTCTGCATATAGACAATTTCAAGGACGAAAACAATAAACGCGTATTTTAAAAATGGTGAAAAACTATTTATTGGCGGAAAATAGTATTAAAAAACAATATCATGGGGCAAAATACAACATAAGGGGCAAAACTGGTTTACATTTTAAGAGGAAAGCTATGCAAAACACACTAGTTTTATATTATTTGAAACTTCTATAAACGCATGGGCCTTCATTTGCGTTATTCGACCTAAAATCGCCATATTACTGACTGAAATGAGGGAATCCACATAAAACATTTCAAACAGCCGTTTTACAGCAGATTTAGTTTTTTAAAAATGAACTAACGTTACTATTCACTGGTACATATGACGAAAATATGATTTCACGTATAATAAACAATATAAAATTAATTAGTCACTTACTTTTGGCGCCAACAGTTGCAACGCAGGCTCAAGCTTCGGTTTCCTCGGCTCATTTCAATTCGATGATCGGATCGTGGAATCAGTGAGTTGTTGACTCAAGAACAGCAGCGACTGGATCAGTGCGATTCACAAACAGGTTCAAGACGAGAGAATCATTTTGCTCATGAATCGGTCATCAAGTGGCCATTTCTTCAGTTCGAAATAACAAGGGACGATATGATTTTATAGAATGACGAGGTCGAGTATCCTAATATAGGAAAGTAAAAGTTTAGCCAAATTAAAAGACTGATAATATATCGCGTATTTTACAACGAAGTAGAACAACTCGGCCTAACACACGACGTAACAGTCACGTATTGTTAAATGTAAACTTATAGTAGGCCTATAGTAAACTTATCACTATCAACCTTTTTCATTTACCTTCTCGACGAAGTTTCTTCTGGTTTGAATCTATTTGTGGATGTCACCATTTAGTGTTGTAAAAATGCGCTTTCTCGGGAGGATGATGATCATCTTTCTAGATTAGTCGATAGGCCTATATTTGACAAAAATCGGTAAGGTTGAGAAAATTAATAAAAAGCTGAAGTGCTACGGATTTCAAGGTAAGCGGTCGCCAGCGTGCAGGAGTGAGTGTGAGTGTGACTGATTAAAAAAAAAAAGCTGACTGATTCAATTCAACACGTGCACAGCTGCAACATGTCTGACAGAGCATTTGAGCAGTAAAGACATTAGCACATGAGCATTTAAATCTGCACAGCAATCTAAAGTTGTTAGTAAAATTGACTCAAAGTGTAAAAAGATCTTTAATGATCATGCAAGCAGCTGCTAGTTACAATTTAATTGTGAACCTAGTCGTAGTGCATTGTTTTGTTCTTGCTTTGATTTTGAGTGCATTGTATACGGGTCGGCAACCAAGTCTTTTACTGAAAAAAGTGATGTTATTCAATCCAGAGCACTAAGCAGTTAAAACATCTCCTGCAATTGGGGTAGAAATGTGAGAGATGCCCTTAGATCTTAGAATAGAAAAACTGTCTGGGTGAATCTTCAACAATCAGTGAAAAATCATCTTACTCTGAAAATATTGGAGGAGTGCTGGGAATATTCATATGATTTTGGAAATAGTTTTGGATGGAAGAGTAGCATGTGGGCAAAGGATTGTGGCATGGACAATAAGATCTTCTGTCCTAATGTACAAATTACTGATGCTTCACCGTGGAAGGTCCCTGAACCGCTTGTTGACTTGAGCTTATTAGAAAAGTCCAAAGAGAATATATTGGAAACGAGGTGAATGCTATATTAAATAACACATTTTATCCAATTTTACAAATATTTACAGATGGTAAATATTAGTTCTATATTCTGGAATTTAAGTTGATTGAGATTTCACTTTTTTCCATTTTAAATAGTGTGTAATGTTGCTGTTGGTGCATGAACAGTATCTGCAAAGTTGCAGCGCTGAAAGTTCAATGTAAGCAAAGCAGAGATATCGTCTTTTAAAAATCAGGAAGTTTAATGCTTACAATAACGACTGGATTGGGACTACAGCGGGTTTTAGACGTCACTAACCCATACATTTGCATCAACCCTCCCTCCGGAATATGCAAAAAAAGGGCATGCGCATATTTCTGCTAAAATAATTCAATATTACAGAGATTTCGGAAGTTTTACCTTTCACTAAACATATTTAGATATACGGGAAATCGCAATGGAGGATTTCGATATATCTAAATATGTTTAGTCAGTTGTGGGCCGTCAGGGCCAGCAAGGCCTTCTCTGCTGGCCTAAACACTATCAGAATCACTGACTTGCACTCTAATACATTTTTTCTATGAATGAGCATTAAATTATTCGAAATAGTTCGTTCTCTTAATTTTGTTGTTTTTCTCTTGGTTGCGCTGCATACAGTAGTTTGTTTTTATATTAGAGCTTTTATCCAATCATATTTCAGCCATCATGCATTGCCGGGTAAATAAATCTGCCTGGAGGCCTTCAGAATCGACAGTGCGGGCACCTGTAGTATAAATGAATGGCAATGAAACCGTTTCTTTAACCAATCAGATAATCCGTCAGATTTAATCAGCCAATCAGATTTCGCTTTGACTGCAGCGGGGCCATCTAGCTGGCATATAATAACGTCTGTACTTTCTCGTTCTTTGATTGGATGCGCGTACAGATCGCATACTATTACTGGTAGTATCCGCATCTGTAGCGAACTGCATAAACTTAATATATATTCCTGTAGATGTAATAGTTTTTTCAACCCAAAAATTAATGTTTCTTTCCCTCCTCGACCCCCAGCAGAAAAAAATCCCTTGTTCAGCCTGAGCTAAACGCAGAGTAACAGAACTTTATTCGATCTCTCTGGGTAAAAACAGAACTGACTAATGTAAGTTATGAAACGAATGATTTGGAAGGCAAAAGTCCCGCTGATCTCATTGATTTCGTTCAAAACTCTGTGTGAGAGCATGGGGCAGCTGTACACATCGTCACGACATTGTTGGAACTGAAACGCAGTTAGAACCTGTGCAACAGTAATTGAAGTCTTCTTGAGGAAAGAAATAAGGATGGATTTTGTGTAAAAAATAATCTGTAGTTTTGGTGAGTATAATGCTTTCTTCCCCGTGGTGAATATGATTTTCTTCTTAATTTTTCTTATAAATTTATGATCGAAACTTTATTTTTTTCAAACATTCATACTATTGTAACGTCTGAAAAGGGACTATTGTAACCCTTGAACAACAAGATAAGGGAGGCTCCGTTTCTGAACTTATAATCGGATTCGGAACGCAAGAGAACCACTGTACAAACGCACCAGCCGAACTCATGTGCTCGTTTCTCTCTACCGGCCTTTCCCGAACTCACCGCATTAATCCAATAACTGCGTTTGCAAAATAAAAACAACAATTATAGAGAGGCTTTGAGGCCTAGGTGTGAAATACACGGCCCGCCATTGTGTTTAGTGAAAGGTAAAACTTCCGAAATCTCTGTGTAAACAATGCGTGACGTAGACGCGCAAGAGATCACTTCCGGCGTAACGTCTGGAGACGGTTCAGTTCGGTTCAGTTGGACATCTGATTCAGATCAGTGCAAGTAGCTGTTAACAAGAGGTAAAAACTATATAAATACCGCTCGTTTCGTGTCTTAGGCCATCAGTGTGTACTTGCATGTACGAGTCATTAAATCATGTTTAATTTTGACTTCTCTGTGCATGCTCTTTGAGGTGGACCCCCTAAAACTCCATTATATGACTGACAGACAACACCGGTTTGACCGAAAAATGTCAAAATTGAAAATACTGTGGAAACAAAGACACCTACATCTTGGATGCCCTTGAGGTAAGCTAAAACGTATAAAAAATTAATTTCAAAGTTAACTATCCCTTTAAAGGACAAGTTCAGTATTTTACGAATAAAGCCCTGTTTGATCGTTTCTGATGAAATATAATGGTTAGGATTGTTTTTTAGACTTTATGCTGCTGTCTCGAGAATTTTCGGATTCTGTGATTGCACCCCCACACCTCTACAATGGTAGCATAGGTGCACAGGAACAACCCTTCATAAAACGCAAAAAACTTTAGTTTACAAAGAGATGAAACTCACCGAGTGGTCTGGGGTGTTCACTGATATGCTCACACAAAAATCGCTGCAAAAGATGCTTTACAACAGGTTTTATCGTAGTTTTTGTCCAACTCCATTGACTTGTATTGCAACATGACATCATGACTTTTGCGTAAACATACACGCCACTTTCGAGTCAGGTGGCGTGTTATCTCTACGCATTTTGAGCTATCCGCGTGTATCTGCGTGTATGTCTACGCCATTGACGTCCGCGTCATTCCGCGTGTCTGAACACGCAGTCAAATCTCCAGTCATAAATGCCATTAACCCCAGTGACGGTTAGGTTTAGGGACGGGGTTGAGGTAAGTCATATATTTATATAACGTTAAGTCAACGGCGTTCATAAACACGCTGAAAGGCGATTATGCGTCTTGATAGCACGCCAAAAATGGAAATACGAATTGGCGTGTCATACACACGCTACTTTATGAGATCAGTCTGTGTATTGTATGCTCTGTGAAGTACGCTATTACTCCGCCGGCTGGAAACGGAAATGGGGTTGTTTGTATTCTTTCTGTAGTCTTATACAGTCGCGGTATCGTAGGTTACACTATACAAGTGGTTTGCTTGCAATTGGCAAAGGTGCATTATCGCCACCAACTGGGCTGGAGTGTCTTATTCAAGCTCTCAACGGAAGAATGTACGGTTGTGAGACGTTCGTAAAAATAGGTCTACAGTTTTACAACGAATGGTAAAACGCCTGTTGGAAAGCATCTTTTGCAGCGATTTTTGTGTGAGCATATCAGTGAACACCCCAGACCACTCGGTGAGTTTCATGTCTTTGTAAACTAAAGTTTTATGCGTTTTATGAAGGATTGTTCCTCTGCACCTATGTTACTATTGTAGAGGTGTGGGGGTGCTAGCACAGAAACTGAAAATTCTTGGGACAGCAACATCTATCTAAAAAACAATCCTAACCATTATATTTCATCAGAAACGATCTTAAAACAGGGCTTTAAGAGGTAAGGTACAAAATCCTAAATTGTGGTAAGGCAAAGGCAGTTATAATAAGTTAATATTTTGTGTTTTGGTAACATTACTTGAATTTACTCGTAATGCTGCAAAAGTAAACTAATAATTTAATTGGAAGTTTCATGCTTCAACACTGAAAATTAATTTAGAGAACAGAGTGTATGTTTGACACTATTCAGCAGAAGTTTACAAAAACTATTCAGAAGCAATTTTACAAAATGGTTCTAATGTATTACAGTTGTTGAACAAAATAATTGTTTGCATAAGGGGTAATCCTCTTCATAAGGGGTAATCCTCTTCAGTATTAAGTAGATAGATGCACCACCCATTCCAACCTAAAAGGGACAGTATACTTCCAAAGTTTAGACCCCAAGTTCAGTATTTGATGTCAGTGTGGACACACCTGTGGGATGCTATTGTTGTGTTTTACAATGGCTTTTTGAATAAATAAGACAAAGATACACACAACAGTGTTGTTGATGTGCTCTACTAAAGCAGGGAGTGAAGGAAGGAACTGGGCGAAGGAACTGGGGTCCAGGTCCAAGAACTTTACAGATTAAGGGAGGAGGAGGAAGGCCAGAATTTGCAAGAAGGTAAGAGAAAACCCCAGTGAATTCTAGCAGAGGGGTGGGGATCCTCAGAGATGTCTAATATTATTACATTATATAGCCTTTATACTTAATGTCATTATAGCCAATGCACAATAGCCAAGGCACAGCACTGATTTCCTCCAGAGATGAATAATCTTTTATAATGTTTTGGCAGGTGTTGTTTGAGGAAAAGAGAACCCGCCTTAAGCTGCACTTCTACTCTGCTTTCCTACCCATCCTAAAGCAGTATGTCATCCGTTTTCAGTCCAATGATCTCAAAGTTCACAAGCTCCATGATGAACAGGAAATACTGTTTAGGGAGTTTCTCACCTGCTTCATCAAGCCAGACCTTCTAGTTGACACCAAGGGGCAGAATCTCCCTGGGGCTTAGATAAAGGTGGTCAACGTAAGGTCTCCAGAATCCCATCTTGCAGAACCATTTGTTGGCTCAGAGGCCAGGTTTATTGTGAATCAACTAGGGAGGAAGTACCCACTGGTTAAAGAGTTCAAGAGTAAGATCATTGAGGCCTACACCAACTACAAAAAAACTGCCTCTGGACAGTCAGAAGCTGAAGACCCTGTCATGCCAAGACCCAGCTGCAAGGGGAAGTCATCTCATTCTGCCCCATCTCAATAGGTTAATACACCAGACATGGAAAACAGGATGGATGCGTTTGATATAATGTGGCAACCTGAGCCATACAGCCACCGGAATGATAACCTCAGTGATGGCATAGGCCCAATGAAACGGGGAGCCAGTTTCCGAGCGGGCGCCTGAAGGGGAAAATTGCATGTGGAGAGCCAAACTCTTTCTCCAAACACATACCTGGGAGCTTTAGACCGGCAACGGTTGGCACAGCTGGTGCACACAGATGATGAAGAAACACAGAAAACAAGAAAATGGGGTCAGGCCAGTCAGTGACAGCCTGAACCTTGGAGGGTCCATGCTTATGCCCTCTGCAGACTCGACCAAACCATGGAAGGTACCTGACTGGACATGAAACGCTCATTTCTCGGCAGACGATTCTCTAATAACCGCTGTAATACATGGCGCACAAGTTGGGTGTGTACCTGGGGAGATGGGGAGAAAATTAGGATATCATCCAAAAACACAAAGATGAAAATGTTGAGCATGCTTCTTGACGCATCGTTTACGAGCGCTTGAAAAAAACGGCTGGGGCGTTTACCAGCCCAAACGAACGGTAAAACCCAATATTCAAAGTGCCCCAATGGAGTATTAAACACTGTCTTCCACTCATTCCCATTCTTGATGCACATGAAGTTGTAGGCGTTACGGAGATCTAACTTCGTGAAAATCCTGGCTACAGGATCTTGAAGACTGATGACATCAGTGGTAAAGGATTTTTGTGCTGCCATTTTGGCTCCCTGGAAGAATAGATTTTTATCTCTGGGACTATCCTGGTAAAAAAAAAAAAAAAGATACCAGTTCTTAATGGTGCTGTCATTCAGCTCCTTATAATAGATGCAGGGGCGCAAGGATCCGTCTTTCTTTTTCATAAAAGAAAATTCCCGCTCCGGCAAGAGAGGAAGGAAGGAACGATGGTACCGGCCATGAGCGATGTATCAAGATTCTTCTCAAACGCCTCACGTTCAGGAGCGGACAAGGAATACAAGCGCCCGCGGGGAGGAGTGGTGCCAGGGAGAAGGTCGATACTATAATCATTCAGGCGATAGGGAGGGAGAGAAGAGGTCTGGGAACGACTGAACAAAGAGGGGAAAAGAAAATCAGGGCAAAGGGAAAACAGGTGTGCGAAGAGCGCGAGCATAAACGCTGATTGAGAATGAGCTCAGCTGTGCTCAGCAAATTTTGTTGGTGGGAAAATTGTTGTGAATTTGAAAGTCATTGTGAAACTGTAATCACCCTGGCCACATTTAGACATAGCCCCCCCCCCCTCCCCACCCCAAATGCACACAAAAAGTCGTCATTTACATCAACCCACATTGATATGTCATTGAGCGCCATCATAACTATGCTAAACTGGCCGCTGATGTTAAAGGTCCCCTGACATGAAATTTTCACTTTCTGAGGTTTTTTAACATTAATATGAGTTCCCCTGCCTAGCCTGTATATAGCTGCGTTTCCACCGCAGGAACTTTCCCCGGGAACTAGGAAATGTGGGGTGGTACTCGGTGTGTTTACACCGCAGGAACCAGGGTCTAAATGAAGTTCCGGGTAAAAATTTCTCCCCCAGAAAGTCCCTGCTGGCGAGGTGGTACTTTTTCAGACTTCAGGAACTTTCGGGGTGGGACTTGTGCGCTGAACATGCTGATTGGTTCTCACCATGCTATTCTTTCTGCCCGATGGCGCGATTCGCCCCATCCATCTCACAGTCGTCTGCTGATAACAAACGTTAAAAACGATACGTTAAAACGATAACAAACTACTTTTATATCTAGCATTACGAGCTTTCTGAATACGCTTTGGGTGCTCGTCTCTTTTCTGCCGTTTTGTTAATTACCTCGTTAGTAAACCAATCGCACACAAAAGCAGCAAAGCTTGAATCTCCTGCATACAAAACTCAAAACAAACGCTCAGGATAGGAAGAGCAGTTGCACGCAGTTCAACGTCACTACATAATCTTCCCGCCTCGTACCGGTCACTTTAGTACGCGGTGTAAACGCAGTAAGCAAGCCGTCTGGGGAAAAAAAAGTTCCTCTGAAAAAAGTTCCTGGGACAAATAATTCCTGGTAATTGCGGTGGAAACGACGAATATCTGAAATAAATCGATCGAGCTACCGAGCTTTCTTTCTTTCAAAATCAGATACTGTTGTTTATGCATAAGTCAACCCAGTGACTAAAATATATTAACTTCACATCGTTTCTTTTAGTAGGATGAACAAATTATATACATGAAACGATCTAAGAACAATCTTTCCACACAGGGCGAGTTTATCTGGACAACTCATTATAAAATAAATGACGCACGTTACACTGCACAACGAAGCTCTTACTGTATGTACATCATCGTACTTGCATTGGTGAAAGCATTAGAGAGAGTGCAGAAAATGTGTTGCAATGATAAGATCTTCATTCTCGCGATCAACAGACTGCTTGCTCAATGCACATCACCATAACATGTGACGGGATAGATTCGAAATACTTTTAAAACTTCTCACGATTCGTTAATCTCGATAGCTGTAATAGTAAAAACGTATAATAGCTGTAGTAAAAGTATTCAAGAGAGTTTCACATCTAATATGGACACGCCCCTTCAAACGTTCAAATCAGAGGCTAAAATCAGGGTAGGAAAAATGCCTTTTATTTCTAAATTATGACTATTTTTGCATTATAAGGGCAAGCCAGGAAACATTATAAAATAATAAAATAACCCCATGTCAGGGGACCTTTTAGCATTTTCTGGTCGCATAATGTGACGTTTGAGAACCTAAAACTCTGCATCACCCAGTGGACTCGGCAACACATAACCGGCGTTTTCAGAAATCTCCACTTTTGCCGGAGTTTTTTGAAATAATCGTTTTCTGTAATAAAAACTGGGTTTTCGTGTAAATGAGATGCCAAACAGCAGGGAAATATCTGCGTTTTCTCTTTGTGTAAGCGGGGCATCTGTAGTTTGTTTTCTGGATTGTGAAATTGTAACTGCTGGAGTTTTTCTAAATGATGACTATTTTTGATTTAAAAAACTTGCTAGCATTATAAGGGCAACCCAGGAAACATAATAAAATAATAATTTAAGATCTCAAGATGGGACACCAGTAAAATACAATTTGCTGTTTGTTGAACAGCTTTAACTCTGGAGTTTTGTCATCCAAGTATTTTACAACAATTGTGCAAGTTTCAGAAGAAATGTGAATTGTATGAAAACATACAATTTTGAGACAAAGCCAAGCATAAAGATCCACCCCGAACAACACCACCACCAGTACAAATTAATATGAATTAGCCACCAATTTGCAAAAATGTAAAATGGTTACACATTGCCACGAGATAGTGATGGTTCTGTCTGGTTGTTGTGATGTGAGAAGTTCGAGCGACTCATGACTTTCATTGTACAACTGCTATCATGTTTGGAAAGAATTTCAAAGTTCATTCATCGGATCAGCTTGACAAGCAGGACAACATTTCAGGCATGAAAAGAAGAACAGATTTTTATTGAGTGCTTTTCCAAACTTAACTTTTAGAACAGATCTCTTTCTTTTAAACCAAAGACATCAGTGCAGAAAACAGTTCATCAGGAAACCTCTAAATATGCTAGATTGAGAAGTCGAGTACAATTTTAAAGCAGGTGTTTCAAACTTGGGCTGTTTTTGTATGGTTCTTCAGGAGTTTTATCCTTAAATCAGGCTGACAAATCACTTTTTGTGATGTTTCAAATCTCTAACCAGAATTAACCACCATGTTCAAGCAATACAATCTTAAGCATCATTTCTCAACTACACATGCAGAGGATCTGCTAGATATGAGGGAAGGAAAGGTCTGTCAATCTGTGGCTGTGAATATTTCCCTTCAACTGTCATGAACTGATCATGAAACCACTGCATGTTGTAATTACTGATTTGTCTTCTTCAAATTAAAGTTCTAGGCATGAAAACGTGCTATAAAATCAGGCTAACATCCAGAGAGAAGTGTCTCATGAAGCGGGGACAATGTATATCTGCGTATTCAATTAAATAAAGAATGTATCAGCAATATATTTCAGAAAAAAAAAGACGAGTCGACTCTAAACTTCTTTCAAATAATTCGAGATTCTTCTATCTTAGAGCTCCTTATTTTTTTTTTTTAATTATGAATTAACATAATTATGAAACATCTAAACCAAAAAGAACACATTCGACAGCACTGTACAGTGTACATTTGTTAGAATAGCTTCTGTCATTCTAAGAAATGTAAACTGTACACAAACTAAGTGAAAGTACAAACACATGCAACTAAATTTGCATTGGCACATAATGTAGAGTATGAGGTTGAGAAGAACGGATCAACGTTAAAAGCACAAACTTTGGGGATGACGGAACAGTCAACATCACTTCCTGTTTTAAAGGTAACAGGAGATCAGATACTTCTCCCACTCGGAGGACCGTTTTCGGGCTCGTTCTTGGGCATCACCTGGGAAACAACATCAGAAATGTTACTATAAAGAACTCACGTCCATCATGTTATATCATGACACATAACGGCGCCACTCACTTCTCTTTAACCCTTTGTGTTTGTTAGATCTGTGGATGGCAAATCTATTCTGTGCAAGTCTCTCAGAAAGGGAATCCCCTCTCCTAAAGGAGTCGAACATAAAAGGACAAATATTATCAGTCTCATTTAAAACAGACCACAATGTGTGTTAAAACTGATCCTAGCCGTTCCATCATTGAACCTTCATTACAACATGATTATTAAGTTACGATCACCTCGGCTATGAGCTGACAATAAGTAAAATAATTTATATTATAAATAATCATCAAAATCAAAATGAGGACTGGTACATAATACACAGCACCATTTAGAAAGATTTAATAAAAGACTTGGAAATGTGAGATTATCTGCAATGGATTTACGATTTTAAACAATACAACCAAACACACACAGACTTTAGATTTACATCAGACCAATATAAAACTATCTTGTCTGATAACAGTAGTTTGCTCAGGTAGGAATAATCGGTGACATTTTTTAGATGGGATTAGCAAGGGGTCTACCGTCAACATTATTGGAACGAGAATAGCGTTGTCCTTACCTCATGGCACCAATCTTTCCCTTCTCCATGAAGAGCTCGACTTCTCCTTCTGGATAAATCCTGGCATAAAGAGTCTTGTTCTGAACTTTGCTTTTGAACCAGCTGATCGCTTCAAAAGACCAGGTTTCTCCAAACACTGGCCTCACCTATACCACACAAGTTAAAACAACCTTAATGTATTTTTTTAAAAAGTCTGGAAACAATATTATTGTTAGGTTAGGGGTTTGACCAGATCTCGCCATATTAAACCGTGACAAGCCGTCTCACGATATCAGCATGACGGAGTTGAGCTTGAGGCAAAACCTTGCGCTTGCTTTATATCGTTGTAAGAACTGGTAATTTACTCTGGAAAAAAACATTGCCTATGTATGTTGTGTATGGCAAGAGACGGCCATAGAATCAGTCGGATACGACTGAAATGGTAAGATAGATATTACATTATGTATTTTAACAGTTGATCAGAACACAATTATTACTTGCTTTTGATACTTTATTTGAATCAAGTATTGGCACATTGTTAGTATAGATGTATTGGAAGTCATTTTAAAGGTTGTTTATTGTATTGTTTTGCATTGTGTGACTTTCAGTCAAATAAAAGACATTTTTCCAGTCATATAATCATTGAAGATTTTTTAAATGTAGTGAACCCAATATCATGCATCATCACACCCAAAATAGCGTCACCCACATTTGCCAGAGAGACCTGCAGCGCTTGCACGGGTCTGGATGCCATTTCTCCACTCATTTCCTTGACATCCCAAAGAGACACGCAAACGTCGTCTCCATAGTCAATCCTCCTGACCTCCACCTTAATGTCTGTGCAGAAATCATCATCAATGACCACGTTTACCAGCACACACACTCAATGTGATTATGAGATTTAGCCAATATTGGGATTAAACTTTTTACTTTACAGAACATAAACAATACTTCATTCAACCTGGTCCAGTTAACTCATAAGCGAAGTAACCATTAACAGTGTAAAATGTGGCATATTCCGATTTTAAAGGGATAGTTCACTTTGAAATTAATTTGATATGTTTTAGCTTACCTCAAGGGCATCCAAGATGTAGGTGTCTTTGTTTCCACAGTAGTTTCAATTTTGATATTTTTAGGTCAAACCGTTCTTGTCTGTCAGTCATATAATGGAGGTCTATGGTCACCACCTCAAAGAGCATGCAGAGAAGTCCAGATTAAACATCATTTAATGACTCGTAAATTTAAGTACACATTGATTAGCCTGGTTCAACCAGACTCTAGTTCATTTCATTTCCACATAGAGTCTGGAACCGCACCATTGAGAAACGTTTCCTTCCTTGTAGGTGGGTTCACTATTAAAGTTCGAATCTATTGGATTTGCCCAAAGTCACTCACGATCTGCCATAGCCAATCGCTAACGTGTGGTCGTGAGTGACGTATGTCACGCGCCGAAATGGCTGGAAACAACAAGTCCGAATGATCAGAGGATTATGTTTACAACAGGATTTCTGTCACAGTGTCTGGATGTGTTCCCTTGTTTGTCCACTAGATGTCCTCCTTCCCCACTGTGTCATTCACTTCTGGAACTACATTTCCCACGATCCTTGTTTTATCATTGCACTCAGCTGTTCCTCATCACTGATCATTGCACTCTGCCAATTCACCATTATCATTGTCATTCCCTGTGTGTTTATATACCCTGTCTGTTTCAGTGTGTGCCATGGAGTCCTTTCAATTATCACGCCACTTCTGAGGTCCTGTTTTCTTTGAGTCTTGTTTTTGGTTTCCTGTATATGTTGGATTGCCTTTGGATTTTGACCCTTGCTTGGACTGGTTTACGATTTTGGATTACCCTTTAAATAAACAACTGCTCTTGGATTTAATCCCTGTTTCCTGTGTGTGGATCGTGACAGAAGGACTCCATCATTCCACCCTAAATCCAGCGGTATGTTTTACAATGTCCCTTCCCCAGCCGGCGAGCGGGAGAGAAGGGAGTTTTTTAAAGGGACCCGGCTGGTCAAGTTTCGTGGGACCCGTGGAGGCCACAGTGGAGGAGGTCGTCGGGAGATGATTCCTGTCCCGGTGGTCCCGGTTCCGGTGGGCCGGAGAAGGAGACACGTCCCGTCTGCCCAGCGAGAGACTGCTCACGTCCCGTCTGCCCAGCGAGAGACTGCTCACGTCCCGTCTGCCCAGCGAGTGACTGTTCATGTCCCGTCTGCCCAGCGAGAGACTGTTCATGTCCCGTCTGCCCAGCGAGAGACTGTTCATGTCCCGTCTGCCCAGCGAGAGACTGTTCAAGTTCTGTCTGCCCAGCGAGAGACTGTTCATGTCCCGTCTGCCCATCGAGAGACTGCTCACGTCCTGTCTGCCCAACGAGAGACTGTTCCTTTCCCGTCTGCCAAGCGAGAGACTGTTCAAGTTCCGTCTGAGACAGAGCCAGAGATCCCCTTTGGCTTGGCCGCCAAGGTTGTGACGGACTATCTGGAGCGTCTGGCTCGGATCTTGGAGATGCCAGTCTTTGCTGTTCCAGTACCTGAGGCAGAGCCAATGCCTGTTCCAGAGGCAGAGCCTATGCCTGTTCCAGAGCTGGAGCCCATGTCGGTTCTGGACCCTGTGTTTGTGTCTGTGTTTGTGTCTGTCCTTGTAACTGTTTTTGTTCTAGTGTCTGTTCCTGAGCCGGAGGCAGAGCCAGTGCTTGTTCCTGAGCCGGAGACAGAGCCAGTGCCTGTTCCAGAGCCGGAGGCAGAGCCGGTGTCTGGTCCCGAGCCGGTGCCTGCTCCTGAGAGAGCATCTCCGCCCTGGCCACCTGAAGGGTCTTCACCGCCCTGGCCACATGAAAGGTCTGCTCCGCCCTGGCCACCTGAGTGGTCTGCTCCGCCCTGGCCACCTGAGTGGTCTTCACCGCCCTGGCCGCCCGAGGGGTCTTCACCGCCCTGGCCGCCCGAGGGGTCTTCACCGCCCTGGCCGCCCGAGGGGTCTTCACCGCCCTGGCCGCCCGAGGGGTCTTCACCGCCCTGGCCGCCCGAGGGGTCTTCACCGCCCTGGCCGCCCGAAGGGTCTTCACCGCCCTGGCCGCCCGAGGGGTCTTCACCGCCCTGGCCGCCCGAGGGGTCTTCACCGCCCTGGCCGCCCGAGGGGTCTTCACCGCCCTGGCCGCCCGAGGGGTCTTCACCGCCCTGGCCGCCCGAGGGGTCTTCACCGCCCTGGCCGCCCGAGGGGTCTTCACCGCCCTGGCCGCCCGAAGGGTCTTCTCCGCTCTGGCCGCCCGAAGGGTCTTCACCGCCCTGGCCGCCCGAGGGGTCTTCACCGCTCTGGCCGCCCGAGGGTCTTCACCGCCCTGGCCGCCCGAAGGGTTTTCTCCGCCCTGGCCGCCCGAGGGGTCTTCACCGCCCTGGCCACCCGAGGGGTCTTCACCGCCCTGGCCACCCGAGGAGTCTTCACCGCCTTGGCCGCCCGAGGGCTCTTCGCCGCCCAATGGACTATGTGTCTCGCCCTGGCCGCCCGATGGACTCTGTGTCTTGCCCTGGTCCTCGGTTAAGCTCTCACCCCTTGTTCCTGTCTCCCTTCACGGACCTGGCCCACCATCCCTCCCCCCGATCCTCCACCATTCCACCTCCCTCCTGAACTCTTGTGTCATGTTTTTTAATGTTGTCGTGGAGCGTCTGGTAGCCGCTCCGTAGAGGGGGGGTTATGTCACAGTGTCTGGATGTGTTCCCTTGTTTGTCCACTAGATGTCCTCCTTCCCCACTGTGTCATTCACTTCTGGAACTACATTTCCCACGATCCTTGTTTTATCATTGCACTCAGCTGTTCCTCATCACTGATCATTGCACTCTGCCAATTCACCATTATCATTGTCATTCCCTGTGTGTTTATATACCCTGTCTGTTTCAGTGTGTGCCATGGAGTCCTTTCAATTATCACGCCACTTCTGAGGTCCTGTTTTCTTTGAATCTTGTTTTTGGTTTCCTGTATATGTTGGATTGCCTTTGGATTTTGACCCTTGCTTGGACTGGTTTACGATTTTGGATTACCCTTTAAATAAACTGCTCTTGGATTTAATCCCTGTTTCCTGTGTGTGGATCGTGACAATTTCAGTCAACGAGCGCCGCAGGTTTTGTTCATCTAGGAACAATTATTAATTCGAAATGTATATTTGACACGAAGAACAGTGATATATTCATTCAACGGTGGAAGCTGTGTCTAATCATTACAAATACGCCGCTGTGGTTGTTTCTGATCTGCCGCAAATGCTGTAGCAGCTACAGTGAATGATCAGTCTGTCTCTATCTGCAGATGTGTAATAAACAACAATTTTTCATATTACGTCTTATTGTTTCTTAATTACCTTAATTATGGTCTTCAAAGTATGTGTTTGTACATTTTTATGTGGCATTTAGTTTTTTTTATTAAAATAAATCAACCATTGCCATCTAAAACTGAAAATCAAATATCTTCAAAGTATGGGTTTTCACATTTTTATTTATGACAATTATTTTTAAAAAATCACAACCAATTTGTATGATTTACAACATGTAGCTAAAACTGACACACCAACCTCCTGCACGAGTACTAGGGCTGGGTATTGAGACAAATTTCACAATTCGATTCGATTTCAATTCACAAGCTTGCAATTCGATTCGATTACGATTCGATTCAATATTGATTATTTTGGATATCAGTTCCAATAAATGGCAATTTTTCTCAAAGAAATCAAATCTGTTAACTAATGCTGTAAACTATGGGAGTCTAGTTGTAGCCTATAGACTTCATTAGCCTAATATGAAGGTAATAACGAACTGTTTTGTAGCTATACAAACACTTAAATTACACTTTTATTTATTTTTATAATAAGAAGATTATATGAAATAAACATTTAAATGGTGGCTGTCATTAAAACTTGCCAGATTTATTCAAATATGCATTAAATATTGAAGAACATTAAGATTATAATGCATATGTAATATGGTGTATATATTTAACAAAATGCTCCTCTCTAGAGTTATTTTTTCTAGCTGACTAACGAGTTGATGTGGGTTTTCTGAGGTAAATATGACGATGACATTGATTACAAGCTGTTTAATTGACGTCTTTTCACGGTTGAAACGCTGATTGAGTGAATCAATGTGACATGATACGGATTTGGATAAGTTGTACTCTATCTTTAGCACACTTTCAGATGCTCATTCATGTTTATTTGGCGCTGTGACTGGTATTATTAACTCGGAAGAGAGATCCGCGCTGCTGCTTCTCCAGAGCGATCTCACGCCACAGCGCCAAAACACTATTTATGTTTTTGAATTTCTAAAGAAAATGGACGTAATTTGAAAATTGAGACTTTGTTTCATATCAATAGTAACAAAGGACAAAGATTATTGCGATTTTTTGGATGCGCGCAGCCGCGATACAATGATCCATTCATTCAAATGAAACAGGATGACTAATCGATTCTTGAGATTTAAGAATCGATATCGGTTCGTAAAAATGAGAATCGATTAATATCGAGAAATCGATATTTATTACCCAGCCCTAACGAGTACACAAAGGGGCTCAAAAAGTTCTATTCATCACAAGAATCAGTAAATTTACTGTTGGGAATATGAGTGACTGACATGACTCCTGAGCGGATCTTCAACAATAGTTTAGCAGCCAGGACTCGGGGCTTCCGAACACCGCGAACACCAGGCTTAACCGTCCGTCCAAAATGTCACGGTCATCGTGCACGAGCTGCCCAGCACAAACTTCTAAACTTTCTGCCTCCTTCACTTGGTCCTCCGTTGTGCAACAAGAGGTGAGACGATAACAATCCAGCTTTAAATTCTTTATATTCGGCAGTTTCTTTTCCAACAACGGACCGAAATAGCTTTTCTCACGCCTTTCTCCGCTGCCATTACTGAACTCAAACTGACGCGCTTACATCAACGTCATCGTTCTCAGCCACTCCCTCTATTCGCTGATTGGTCCTACAAAAAAATGATTTCTGGAAACCTAACGATACACAGCAGTACCAGACGCAGTACTGAAGGAAAATGAAATTGAGCGGAAGTGTGTAGGAGGGCGCAGCCAGGCTACACATTGATGGCCTAAGACACGAAACGAGCGGTTTGTGTGAGAAAACGATATTTATATCATTTTTACCATTTTTTATCATTTTTTTGAAGGTGTGGACGCTTTGGTCTGTGAAAGCGCCAGTAGTGATCTCTCGCACGGTTGCGAAAACAAAAAAAATCTACGTTGTCTGTTGATATATCGAAATCGTCTTCCATTGCAGACTGATCTCATGAAATGGCGTATGTATGACACCTCAATTCGTATTTCCATTTTTGGCGTGCTATCAATACGCATAATCGCTTTCCAGCGCGTTTATGAACGCCGTTGACTTAACGTTACATTACTGTATATATAAATATATAATAAAAAAATCTCGCACCTTCTCGGGTCATCTCGCTCCCCAGATGTACATTTTGCTTCGTTTTGCTCGGACATTTAACGGTGTGTACATGCACGCGGATAGCTCAAAATGCGTATAGAAAACACGCCTCTTGACTTGATAACAAGTCAAGAAGATAACACTTCTGAAATCTCTGTGTAAACAATGAGTGACGTACACGCGCGAGAGATCACTTCTGGCACTTACGCAGACCGAAGCGCCCGCGTCCTCAGATCACTTGGACGTGGCTGTTTTAGAGGTAAAAATGATATAAATACTATTTGTTTTCTCACACAAACCACTTGTTTCGTGTCTTGGGCCATCAATGTTAACTTACATTTCCGAATCATTAGATCATGTTTAATCTGGACTTCTCTGAGCATGCTCTTTGAGGTGGACCCCCTAGACCTCCATTATATGACTGACAGACAAGAACGGTTTGACCTAAAAATATCAAAATTGAAAATACTGCGGAAACGAAGACACCTACATCTTGGATGCCCTTGAGGTAAGCTAAAACATATCAAATTAATTTCAAAGTGAACTATCCCTTTAAAATCGGAATATGCCACATTTTACACTGTTTACTGCACACACAAATGTATTATGTAAACATAAACTTTTATTTTGGATGCAATTAATGACAATTAATCTTTGCACAGGCAGTTTTCAGGCATCCAAATCATCCCTATCGTGTAAATGAACAGCCAAAAACGCACAGAAAGTTTGAATGGTCAGTATCACACATATACATATGCGAGTTCATTTGTGCTGTGCATTGAGGTTTGTGAAGAATGGCGGTAAACATAACCTTAAGTTAGTTATTTTACAGAATTAATGCAGAAATTAGAAGTTAAAAATTAAGATTCAGATTCATACCTTGTATGGGTGAGTGGGGGGGGGGGGGGGTATGGTATGGGGAGCAGGGAAAAAACAACAACAATGCATTTCACAGATTAAATTAATAATGAAAATAAAATGTTTTGGGAAAATTGCACATTTAAAGCAGCTTTGGGCCATCCTTAAAAATATTTTGGTTTGCAGTAACAGCAAAATTTAAAAAAAAAAAGGGTCGGTAGGTAGGTCTATATTTTTTTTTCAGGATTCAGTGTAAAAAAAAAAAGTACATTTTTTTTTTTTTTAATTGCATATTGTGACGTCACTGACTGGGTCTTCAAACTGTGCATCCACCGCTAGGTGTTAATGCAACCTACAACCGTTTACGTTTTAGGCCAGTCACAAAATGAATAAAATATTTGTTATGCAGCAGTGTGCTGGCTCTCTTTTTTTCATATACATGAGATATAAGCAAAAACAAGTACAAACACATGGTGAAACAAAGAATACAATTAAACAAAGATACAAATTAGCCTACCATTTCAGAAGATGTAAACAACACTGATCCAGAAGCACTTCCTGTTTCAGTTTTTTAACACCACATAAAAGCTGGGATAAAATACAACCAACAGAACATTTAAAACTGAAACAAAAAGTTAAACAAACATCTTTAAGATGTTTTCTTTACATGTGAAATAAAGAAAACAGCTACAAACTGAAACAGGAAGTGTTTCTGGACCAGTGTTGTTTACATCTTGTGAAATGGTCTAGTATATACACAGTGCTTTATTTCAGGAAGGTCTAAAATTAGCTACTTTTCAGTTAAGTCTGTCGCTCTGTCTGAAAAGAAATTTAATTTAGTAATCAAATGTAAAATGACACTGCATAGTAGAGTTGAGCCGGATACTCGGCTGAAACGAGTATCCGGTACGGATAAAGCACTTTTGTCGAGTACAAATATTATACGAGTAATACGAGTCAATATCTGTGCTCGGATAAAAAAAAGAAAAAAAAAGTAATGTTGAAATTAGGGCTGAGCGATATATCAATATAAAGAATATATATATATATTTTAAATGTGATATGTAATTAGAGTTTGCGCTGCACGCCTTGCTCCAAGCAAGCTGCTTAGTGCTGACCCAGAGCTCTCTGCACTGCTCCCCGCGCCCCAGTCACTCCTTTTCCACTTTGCGTGCTTGATTAAAGCATGTTATGTTATAACATGAAATAAAGTCTTTCACCTCAGCAAAACGGACTTTGTCCTGTCAGCCGTTATACTGTAACGTTAGTCGTAGCGCACACTCAATTGCACGCGCAAATGCGGCGGCGCGCGCTGGATCGCCTCACTGTATATAAAGTGCAAAAGAAACAACGAGCATGCAACACTGTTGCGTTGTAAATAACACGAAATAAAAACAAAGCAGGTATGATTTTAATTCTATTCACCAGGAGCAGTTTCAATGTTTCATTAACAGTATTGTCTATTCACCAAGGTAACTGTCATGTCTATATTAACCCCTTAATGCCCCTATTTTTCTTTGTGTTATTTTTTATATTTTTTAAATGAATGTAATGGCTCATACCAACGTTGTATTGACAAAATAAATAAACCAATTAATAAATCACAATTACAATTCCAAGGGAATAATCTGCAATTAAGATTTTTGTCATAATCATGCAGCCCTAAGGTGAAGAAACCTGTTAATTATTTATTCATTTGATTTTGCAAATGTTCATGTTTCAATAAAACTACTTGTGACATGTCATATTTGGCTTTGACTGAACATTTGCTCTCACTTTGCAGAAAAAATATCGGGATATATTTTGTATATTGAAATTCAGCCTAAATAGTATATTGGGATATGACTATTGGTCCATATCACCCAGGCCCAGCCCTAGTTGAGATGAAAACTCTTGTTCGTTACATTTTACTTCATATTTGCAACCACATGTGTTGTATTCATTGTTGCAAAACTTGTTCTGTAGTTCGTTGTTATCGTGATCAAAACCATTGATCTGAAGCTCAATGCTGATGCTGTCATGTAAATAGTTTTCTTATCAGCAATAAATATAACAATTTCTGATCAACCCATATCAATTGCATGCTTAAAATAACATACCGGTTAAAGCCCCGCCCATTTCAAGACTACCCGACCCACTTCCGGGTTTAGGCCCCGCCCAGTCCGAGTACAGATACAGATACAGATAATTCATATGGTTATACAGATACAGATACAGATACAGATAATGCTGTACTCGCTCATCCCTACTGCATAGTTTATCATAGTTAGATTAATGCTTATTAAAGTTTAAGTTATTCATTCAAGAGATGTGAGGGATTTTCTCTGCCTTTTGTTGTTTGATTCGCATCACTGACTCAATCGTCACATGTTTATTAGACTACTGCCCCTTTAAGACCGAATGCAGAACTCTACTGTAAATAGATGTCTGATGCGCCATCATTTTCTCCCAACTATTTACGTCCATTTAAGACATAAACTGTGTTTAAATGAATCTCAGAGCAGGTCATTTTATATTTTATGTATATTTGGGGCTTCATGCGCACATGAAGCCCCAAATGAGGCTATAGCCTACTTTTCTTGTCTCGTTTTAGTGCACTTCGGAGCGTGCGTCGCCTTTTGAACAGCGTCTCTTGCGCAGACTTTTGTGCTTTTAATAGCTCTTTTAATGATTGAACGCATCCGCAGTTTAGCAACAGTACAGACTGCATTTTACAACAATCACCGATCGTGCTGATTCTGACGGTACGTTTGGGTTTTAGGAAGAAATGACAGCGCAGCGCTGTGAAGGGAAGGAAGTTGCGCTAGACAGAATGCGTCTGTAATGGTTTCATCTCAAATATCTTTTTATAATCTTTGAAATCGGAAATCTAAAATACGATTAGAATAATATCCCAGATCTAAAGTGTAGGTAACCATGTCCTCGTTGTCACTCATTAAGCAGGGCTGTCGTGCTGTGCGCGCTGTGGCTCCGGGTGAGAGATCGCTCTCTCTTCTGGACTGCGAATAGCAAAATTGCATCACAGACAAATTGTTTAATATTATTATTATATATAGAAATGGTTGATATTCACCCCCGTTGCCCGTTTAATACCGGGTTTACCAAGCGGGAACACTGAATGAAACTAAGCGAACGTAGGCTACAAGCCATACAGACAGTGTGACACGGGTAAACCAATCGTGCAAACATAATCAGATGACGATGACGCCACGGGTTTTTATTTAAAAGAAAGAACGTAGCCTACGTTTATAGACATTAGCAACTTTCACAATACTAACTAAAATATCATTTTATTGAATTTGAATTAGTCGTTTGAAGAGTAAAAAAAAAAAAAAATCGGTCGGTCTGAACGCAAGTTACAACCGGCAAGTCGGTCGGACTAAAAGGAAAAAAAAAATAAAAAATTGGGTCGGCCCAAAATTGACAGGGTCGGTCGGGTTACGGCAAACAAGAATATTTTTAAGGGTGGCCTTGTCTTACCTCTACTCAGCTGACATATTTTGAGGACCCGGCCACGGCACCAGACCTCCTGCATCGGGAGCCATGCCATGACATAAGCCCCAACATCTGGGACACTATTCATCTCTGCAAAAGATCTACTGCTGTTCCTACTGCGTAATCAAAGAAAACAGAAACAGACACTAGTACCTGACCTGTACAGACAGTAGTAAAAAATATATAGATATGCCATATTAAACTACTCACAGCATGATTTCAGACAGTTCACAAAGGTTTGCGTCCTTGTGTTGGATGAAGAACTTGTTTGGGTGAACAACGCGAGTGACTACAACTGGGATCTCCTCAAATTTGCGACTCTGAAACTCTGGGATTTGGACATGCACACCGTCATCATCTTCAGGTTCATCAGTCAGAGTGTTGGAGCCTTGAGGGCATGACTCTTCTTCTGACGGACAGGACCTTTGGCTGGAGAGGTTAGCAACTTTCCAGTCATCTTGGAAACGGAAATCGACCATTTCATTTGGGAATGGCTCTGCTGTAGAGTGATTTGTGCACGAAAAAAAATTTCCAGTGTCCCACAATTCACTATTTGTGGTAATCATCCAGTGATAGGCCACACAATCAACGCTGATGTGTTTCTCAGCAAATATGGGTTCAGAAACTTTCCCCTCAGAAATGACTTCATTCTCCAGATGCTTCTCGGCACTGGTCACTGCCACGACTTTCTGATCCACAGATGCCATTGCATTAATGTTTTGCTGCTGCATCAGCCTTGATGACGCCTCAGTTATGTTTGTCATATGTTGGACTTCATCAGCCGAAGAAGCCAGGTCAGACGCTCGTTTTGGGTTTTGACTCCTCAGATAGTGAAGGAGCTGAGAGGATGACAACTTGTGACGGTGAATGTGGTCACTTCCAGTATTTTGCCGAATTGTGATTTTTGGATTAGTATACATCTCACTTGGGTTGAAGATCTGGTTATGATGGCCTTTCACAGGTATTCTAGGATCCATGTTGATCTTCTGAACTGCAAAACCTTCAGACTGTTTGTGAACAAAACATCCATCTTCATTACAGTTTCAGGTATTTTTACTCATTTCAGATTAAAGCAGAATATTTGTTTTATTTTAAAGTGCAATGCTAACAATTATTTAATCATTAGTTAAAAACATTTTATAACATGGACCAGGGTCAAAATAAAAATAAAAAAGATATTGAGAGAAAATTGCAGCTTATTGTGGAGGTATGAAGTCAAAATATGTTTACCGGTAATCTAATTTGCAAGTTACAGATGAGATTGTGTCTTTCTCACAAGTTTTATTTTTTTTTAACCAAAGGATGATATTGTGAAGCAGTAATTTTGGTTTGATTCAATAACATGCTGAATTTGTGCTGGTCAGACAAAGTCTGAATTGTTCCTTATTTGACAAATATGTTTAGAAAAACTATACTCCTATAAAAATTCCTCATGTAAAAGAAAAAAAAAAGTTCCATAACAATAAAATATCAAACATAAGTGTAATATCTTGCAATATCACCTGATTAGCACTTAAATAACTGGGACAACTTGACATGATTGACTATAAGAGTAAATTTCGGTGGTGGACGAAGTATCAAATAAGTGTTGAGTAAACCTATAGATGCCATAATTAAAATATTACTGGCTACTTTTTTCAATTAAGCACTATTTAAAAGTACTAATCGATTAAAAATATACTTATTCTAGCTAGCACTAATCAGAGAAATGCAGACATTTAATATAGAAAATTAATAAGCAAATTTTTGAACATAATAAATACTTGCACCATCATAACAACCAATGAAACATAAATTTAAGTTACGTATCTTTCAAATATATAAACTGGTGAAATGAGCATATAGTGCTAGACCATTTCAAGGACGAAAACAATAAACTCGTAAATTATTTTAAAAGTGGTGAAAAACTGTTTATTTATTTTTTGCAAATACGTGGCGAAAAATAGTATTAAAATACAACATATGGGGCAAATTTTGAGAGGAACGCTATGCTAAAACACACTAGTTTTATATTATTTGAAACTTCTATAAACGCATGGGCCTTCATTTGCGTTATTCGACCTAAAATCGCCATACTGACTGAAATGAGGGAATCGCATTTCAAACAGCCCTTTTACAGCAGATAAGTTTTTAAAAATGAACTAACGTTACTATTCACTAGTACATATGACGTAAATATGATTTCACGTATAATAAACAATATAAAATTAATTAGTCACTTACTTTCCGCGCCAACAGTTGTAACGCAGGCTCAAGCTTCGGTTTGGTTTCCTCGGCTCATTTTCGATTCGATGATCGGATCGTTGAATCAGTGAGATGTTGACTCAAGAACACCAGCGACTGGATCAGTGCGATTCACAAACAGGTTCAAAACGGGAGAATCATCTCGCTCATGAATCGGTCATCAAGTGGCGATTTCTCGATTTCTTCAGTTCGAAATAACAAGGAACGATATGATTTTATAGAATGACGATGATTTTATAGAGTATCCTAATATAGGGAAGTAAAAGTTTAGCCAAATTAATAGACTGATAATATTCAGTCAGATAGGCCTATTTTACAACGAAGTAGAACAACTTGGCCAGGTTGTCTTAGCTTGCTACTAAGTTAACGTTACTCTTACGTCCCAGCTAACACACGACGTACTGTAACAGTCACGTATTGTTAAATGTAAACTTATCACTATCAACCCTTTTCATTTACCTTCTCGACGAAGTTTCTTCTGGTTTGAATCTATTTGTGGATGTCACCATTTAACTTGGTGTTGTAAAAATGCGCTTTCTCGGGAGGATGATGATATCTTTCTAGATTAGTCGATATATTTGACAAAAATCGGTAAGGTTGAGAAAATTCATAAAAAGCTGAAGTGCTACGGATTTCAAGGTAAGCGGTCGCCAGCGTGCAGGAGTGAGTGTGTCAGTCTGACTGATTAAAAAAAAAAAAAAAAAAAGCTGACTGATTCACCACGTGCACAGCTGAGTGCATTTGAGCAGTAAAGAGAAGACTTCACATGAGCAAAATCTGAAGTTGTATGATAAAACATTGGAAAGATCACCTGTTTTTAAATTCCTTGGTTTATGGTTTGATGAAAAATTATCATGAAAAATTAATATTAGTAAAATTGACTCAAAGTGTAAAAAGATCTTAAATTGCATGCAGGCAGTTGCTAGTTACAATTAAATTGTGGAGCTAGTCGTAGTGCATTGCTGTGCATCATGTATCAAGCATTGTTTTGTTCTTGATTTTGGGTGCAAATACGGGCTGGCAACCAAGTCTTTACTGAAAAAAAAAATTGATATTATTCAATCCAGAGCACTAAGAATATGTTGTGGAGCAGTTAAAACATTCCCTGCAATTGGGGTAGAAATGTGAGAGATGCCCTTAGATCTTAGCATGGAAAAAACTGTCTGGGTGAATCTTCAACAATCAGTGAAAAATCATCTTACTCTGAAAATTTTGGAGGAGTGCTGGGAATATTCATATGATTGAGGAAATGGTTTTGGATTGAAGAGTAGCATGTGGGCAAAGGATTGTGGCATGTACAATAAGATCAAATTATGTACAAATTACTGATGCTTCACCGTGGAAAGTTCCTGAACTGCTTGTTGACTTGAGCTTATTAGAAAAGTCCAAAGAAGAATATATTGGAGGTGAATGCTATATTAAATAACACATTTTAATCAATTTTAATTTTTTTTTACAGATGGTTCTAAGGATCCTGCCAGTCAAAAGGTTGGAATGGGTGTTGCGGAATTTAAAGGGTTAGTTCACCCAAAAATGAAAATTAAGTCATTAATTACACACCCCCATGCTGTTCCAACCCCGTAAGACCTTCGTTCATCTTCGGAACACAAATAAAGATATTTTTGATTTAATCTGAGAGCTGGATCACTCTTCCATAGGCTTCCTAAGGGACTGGCTCTTAATGGCCCATAAAGTCATTAAAGAAAATGTTTTAATGTTCCATGTGCCTAAAGCGGCTTATTTATAAGTTTATCAAGCGACGAGACTACTTTTTGTGCGAAAAAAACATAAATAACGGCTTTATTTGACTATTCCATTACTTCCTTATTGGCGCATGCGCGAGAACTGAGACGAGGACGTTCTCCTTCGACTTGTTACCGGCTGCTCACCGCTTAGGAGTTTTACCGCCCCCTACCGTATAAGATGATGTGCTGATATAGCTGGAAGTGCAAAACTTTCTGTTTACAAGCAGAGGAAGATGCGCGCTGTACATACGCTTTTCAATTAGCGTATTTTCCGCACTACAAGGTGTACTTAAAAGCCTTTAATCTTCTCAAAAAACGACAGTGTGCCTTATTATCATCTTATACGGTAGGGGGCGGTAAAACTCCTAAGCGGTGAGCCGCCGGTTACAAGAAGTGGTCGAATGAGAACGTCCTCATCTCAGTTCTCGCGCATGCGCCAATAAGGAAGTAATGGAATAGTCGAATAAAGCCGTTATTTATGTTTTTTTTCGTACAAAAAGTAGTCTCGTCGCTTGATAAAATTATAATTGAGCCGCTGTAGGCACATGGAACATTTAAACATTTTCTTTAATGACTTTATGGGCCGTCAAGAGCCAGTCCCTTAGGCAGTCTATCTAGGACTGATCCAGCTCTCAGATTCAATCAAAAATATCTTTATTTGTGTTCCGAAGATGAACGAAGGTCTTACAGGGTTGGAACAGCATGGGGGTGAGTATTTAATGACTTAATTTTCATTTTTGGGTGAACTAACCCTTTAAAATACAAATTAGTTTGAAGTTGGCCAATGAGTTATTTGTGTACACTGCAGTTAACAGCTATAATGTAATAATTTGACTACAGTGGGTTGAACAAGTCAGACCAAACAGATGCTCAGATTCTTCTTCTGCTTTAATTAGTTGAATTAATTAGTTAAATTAGTTAAATTTCAGACTCATCAACCATGTTAATTTGCACTTCAGTACAGTAGGTGGTGATAATGCTCCTAAGGAGTTAATCCCCATTAAAACAAGAAAAAGACATTAGCTCATGTTTTCAGAAAGATGGTAATCAGACATTTTCGAATATGGAAAAAAATAATAATAATAATTTGCGGCATTAGCGAAGAAATCATGCCATGACCAATTAGACGTTTAAACAAATATAATATATCACTATTATTCTAATCAATTGCATTGCATGTCTCAGCTGCATCCTATATATTGAATTAAGCTCTAAAAAAGGTTTGAAACAGACTACTGGGATTGTGATTAAACCCATTTCATTTACAGCAATGAACAGCATTAAGGTACAAAATCCTAATTTGTGGTAAGGCAAAGGCAGTTATAATAAGTTAATATTTTGTGTTTTGATAACATTACTTGAATTTAGTCGTAATGTTGCAAAAGTAAACTAATAATTTAATTGGAAGTTTAATGCTTCAACACTGAAAATTAATTTAGAGAATACAGTGTATGTTTATTTGATTCAGCAGAAGTTAAACAATTTTACAAAATGGTTCAAATGTATTACAGTTGTTGAACAAAATAATAGCCTCTATGCACGATCGCTTCCGGGTTTGTCTCAGCACGCCCAGTTACATCCGATGCTGCATCAGTCTATGGTCAGAAGCCGGTTTTGCGTTAGGTGGAGATAGTGTCAAATTACACTTGCTGTTTATAAAAAAAGTCCTGCAGTTAACGTGAATGATGTTAACAACACTGTGAGGCAGTTAGCTTTCACACAAAAGTAAAAAAGAGAAGTTATTTAAATGATATATTTTGAGCTACATCAACAACTTTGAGGGTTAGTATTCTCTCATATCGTATGAAATTCAACTAGTGAATCAGCGTTTCTAAAATCGTTGTCTCCGTTTCTGAGAAAACGGATTTTATTAAAGTTTTGCCTCTATACACTTGGCTTGCAGAACTCGCTTCCGGAAGTAAAGACGCTGACTGAGATCCTTTCAGACACGTCAGCAGGGTTCGTGCATAAGGGCTATTGTTTGCATAGGGAGTAATCCTCTTCAAATCAGTATTAAGTAGATAGATGCACCACCCATTGCAACCTAAAAGGGACAGTACACTTCCAAAGTTTAGACACCAAGTTCAGTATTTGATGTCAGTGTGGACACACATGTGGGATGCTATTGTTGTGTTTTACAATGGCTTTTTGAATAAATATGACAAAGATACACACAACAATGTTGTTGATGTGCTCTACAAAAGCAGGGAGTGAAGGAAGGAACTGGGCGAAGGAGCTGGGGTCCAGGTCCAAGAACTTTACAGATTAAGGGAGGAGGAGGAAGGCCAGAATTTGCAAGAAGGTAAGAGAAAACCCCAGTGAATCCTAGCAGAGGGGCGGGGATCCTCAAAGATGTCTAATATTATTACATTGTTTAGCCTTATATACTTAATGTCATAGCCAATGCACAATAGCCAAGGCACAGCACTGATTTCCTCCAGAGATGAATAATCTTTTATAATGTTTTGGCAGGTGTTGTTTGAGGAAAAGAGAACCCGCCTTAAGCTGCACTTCTACTCTGCTTTCCTACCTATCCTAAAGTAGGGTTGTAACGGTATACCGGTATTTATCGCGATATTGACATGTACGATTATCATATCGTGCACATTTGCTTATCCGCGGTAAAAAAAAAAAAAAAAAAAAACAGAATTCACCTGCACTGCCGCATGCAACTTCTTTCAGCTTGACTGCTTACTCCATATCCGTACAGCGCTGAAAATGTCCGAGACAGAGGCTGCGAATCTCTATCTCCCGCCAAAAAAATAAATAAAATCTGCAGTATGGGAATATTTTGTAACTTATAGACCATTTCACAAGATGTAAACAACACTGGTCCAGAAGCACTTCCTGTTTCAGTTTGTAACTGTTTTCTTTATTTCACATGTAAAGAAAACATCTTAAAGATGTTTGTTTAACTTTTTGATTCAGTTTTAAATGTTCTGTTGGTTGTATTTTATCCCAGCTTTTATGTAGTGTTAAAAAACTGAAACAGGAAGTGCTTCTGGACCAGTGTTGTTTACATCTTGTGAAATGGTCTATATCCGAAAAACGATTGTGATGTTGTCCTTGAAGATGGATATCCAGTTTGCAAGATATGTGGACGAAGAGTGGCTGCAAAAGGAGTAAACACGTCGAACATGTTCTCCCATATTCAGGAACACCATCCCTCCGTGAAGATAAAGGTTATTCATAACTTTTATAACTTAAGGCCATATTATTTCTGTCATGCTGAGGGAATCCCGGTCTGTCAAAAAGACGCACACATGCGTCTTTTTGCGTTACAAAACAGATGCCACGTAAAATGTGCGATTTAAAAAGATAGATGGATAAATAAAGCAAAATATAGCTATGCAGTAGCCTAAATCAAATCGCGATGTGCGTGTCTGTGAATATAACGCAAAAAGACTGGTGTGCAAGCCCCTTCTATATTCAGCGTGTCTCTGAATGAGCAGCGCCGTTTCGTCTAGTAGATCTAGTACACACTCAAGTACGCATGACGCTCATGGTTTTTAAAGCTGTCTCAGCCACTACGAAGACGTGAACACATGAACATATCTAGACAGAGAACACTTAATGTGCACTTTATAATTATTTTTTTAAAGAATAATCATCAAATACACTGACTGAAACTCATAGGTGTTCAGTAGGTGTTAACGCGGGGTTAAATGTAACACGGACCGTTTACACAGTTCGTCAGGATCAAGCCGGCCGTCTTTCCGCTATTTTTCTCTTGCTGCCAGAAGACGGTCTCCCGCGAATTTGCGGAAAGTTTTGATTATATTTCGTGAAGATACTGGACAAAGAGTGTTTTGACACCATGAAAGTAATTTTTTTCATCATAGGTTTTTTTCGGTTTCTGAGTTGGGTATAAATACGTTTCCAAATCTAACTTTATATTGCCTTAATCACCGTCTT